ACATTTTTGATTGGTGGTGTGCCTCGAGATTTTTTCAGTTAAAACAGTGTACCTTGGCTCAACAAAGGTTGAAAAACACTGTTCTTGATAATGATTTCATAATTGATGACTATCTGATGTTTCTCTGGTCTAAAGCACTTTGAACTGTCTTGTTGCTAAAATGTGCAATACAAATAAACTTGACCTGACTTAAAGGGTTTATGTTTTTGTACTTCTGTTTGGGTTTCCACTGCTTCTGAAAACATCTCAAACACTTTAAAAAAAACATGTTTTTTTTTTTTTTAGTGTCTGTAAACCAGCAACCCTAGTAGAACTCCAGCATCTTTGGTGTTCTGGTTTTACAGCTGGATGCGCATACAACGGCTGCTGGATAAGGCAAGCATTTGCTGCATTCTTGTTGATTGTGCAGGAGGCTCTACTTTTGCTTTTCAAAGATGTACATTTGTGCATCTGTTTGCAGCTAATTTCAGGTGAGAGTTTAAAAGTTTAATTAATTGGGGCGTGGCCAGCAGTAACCAAAATAGGCAGAACTGACCAGACTAAAATTTCATCATTTAAAGACAATTCTGTGCAAAAAATGTAGTGAACATGTTTTGTAACGCACATAACTCAATCCTAACTTATTCAAGTTGGAATAATAGTCCTAATAAATTGAATTTGTGTAATTTCACTGACATATCCACAAAGCTGAGTATTTAACATCACCTTTAGGCATCTTCTGCAGCAGTCTGTAGATGGCGCTCTTCTCGATGAGCGGCTTTGCCTTGAAGAAGTGTAAGGCAGGAAGGAAGAGCGTGGCCGCCATCTCCTGCTCTTTAAACCGATGCAGGTTGGCGTCCAGCTTCTGCTCGGCCGCCGTGAGCGCCAGCAGGCCTCCCGTCTGCCGGGACGCCTCCTCACGCATCAGCAGGTCCCTGCGAGCGGGGTCCGGCATCCCTGCAGATTCCCTCACAAGCCACAGCAGGGGAACGCAGGTGAGCAGAGTCAGGCAGAGTGAGTTCACCATGTCCTCCTTACCCCACTGGGAACACTGGGAGGCCTACTGGAACATGCTGCCGCTGCTTCAGATGAGCTGAAGTTATCTGCTTTGGAGCTGAAAACAAAAAAAGACATGCAACAGCTAGAGG